CAATACAGATCACACTTAGAAAATCAAATAATGATGGCCAGACCAAATGCAGGCGTCCATTTTCTTTTCTCCTTGCAACTGGCATCAGCACGATGTGGAACATTTAATAGGAGACCAAACACTTAATTTTCTCTTTTCAGGAAATGATGTCTGATTTCTTAGAAGAATCTAGCTTATTTTTCAAAGTCTGGAGCGGGGCTGATTATCTCATAAAGTCAAATTTTCTTTTCTTGATTTCAATCTGTTGAGCGTCCCTGCTTTCCCTTTGAAATGTTGATCCAGCCAGCAGGATTTCCATCAAATATTCATGTTCTAATTAAAGACAATTGGTGTTGCAATTTATCATAATGGGCAAGCATACAAAATGGTACATATTTTTCAGAAGAAAAAATAGAGAAAAGGAAGAGACGGAGGAGGAGAAGGCAGTTCAATATTTTATTTGGGATTAACATAAAGCCCTTTTTTTTTTCCTCCCAAGTTGAAATTAAGATAGTATATTTATTTCTTGCCACCTCTCTTAATCACGTTTCTTCAGCCTGGTTTGTTTCAGATGTAAATTGGCTTCCAAGTTTACAAAACTGCCTCCCTCTTTGATCATTCCTTTAGATAGGGAGAAGAACTTGTGAAAAATAACTATATAAAGTAGAAATGATATACTGTAGAAAAGTTGGGTCTTGTGGGTTGAAGGCTGGACAAAATAATTTTCAGGTCCGGAGTCCTGATCACTATTTCACAGCAAGAGTAGATAGAAGATCGAGCATAGCCTCCTGGTTTTTCTTTGAAGACATTTCGCTTCTTTTATCCAAGAAGCTTCTTCAGCTCACAAAGAGGCCCAAAGCGCCAACTTCATTCGATCACTCGTGTTTAGGACGGAAAAGATCTATAGACAGAACCAACGTAAGCACTTTCTGTTTGCCATGCTCCTCAACAAAGTGAAAATCTACCTTTCAAGCAGCTCTTTCAGTTTGATGATCAGGATGGAAGGATCTACCTTAACTTAGAACTTAGGAAATCATCTTTGTCCCAGTTGTTGTTTTGAATCGGATTGCCCTCCTGAAAGAAGTAGGTCTCATTAGAACTATGCTTTTTAATTGTGGCAAGATTTAAGATGGGTGGACATCTGCTCCCAGAATCCCCCAGCCAGCTGGTCCCTGGTCTAATGAAGAGAAGGACTAGGGATGACCTGATAGCAGTCTTCCAATATTTTGAAGAGATGATAGGGTCCCCAAAGCCCCTGAGGGCAGGACAAGAAGTACAGATGGAAGCTAATCAAGGAGCAAAGCAACCTAGAACTTGGGAGAAATTTTCTGACATTGAGAACAATTAATCAGTGGAACAACTTGCCTCTGGAAGTGGTGGATGCTCCATCACTGGATATTTTCAAGAAGAGGCTGGACAACCATTTGTCCAGAATGGTACAGGGTCTCCTACCTTTGCTGGGGTTGACTAGAAGACCTCCAAGGTCCCTTCTAACTCTGTTATTCTGTAATTCCATTATATGTAAGGGTTAGAAGAGACCTGGAGGATTATCTAGATTTAATCGTGTCCCCAGTGCAGGAATCCACTTCTACAACATCCTGAACAGATTCCGCCTATTTGAATACATCTAGTGAAGGAGAGTTCACATTTGCATTTAAATCCAGTGAAAATGAAATACACTGACTAGGATGACTCTCCAGAAAATGTAACATTTCTCATCTTTTGTCATGCTAAAAATTACAGCGTGGTAGTAAATTTTGGAGCTCTGGAAGCCACACCTAAAGCTTTCCGGAGCTAACTGTGGCTGATCTGCGATAGGTAGTAAAAGGGCCACTTTAGCTAGGAATAATATATTTCCAAATATTTTTAATAGCCGTGTAAGGAATCTGAGCCATAAATCATGATAGTTGCAAGAACGCATCTGAAATTTTAATAGCACGGGAACGCAGTCCTTTTTCAGAACTTTAATAACAAATTAGCATTGCAGTTGTATCTGCCCATTCCTACTTAAACAGAATATTTTTGTCCTTCTCTCAAAATTCTTAGATCCATCAATTACGGACGTGCTTGAGATTCACAAGTTTGGTGGGATTTAATGGTTTGTGAGAAGTATGAACTTTTTTGAAGGCTTCTACTTTAGCTTTACATCATCTTGGAGAATGAAGATTTATTAGATAGAAGTGTACCATGATATGAAACTCATTTCCCAAGACAGTAGGATTTTGCATAATATTTGCTATTTTGATGAAGTGGTTTTGCATCCAGACAGAATGTTGCTTTGCTGAAATGCCTGATATATCACAAAGCTGCACTTTGACCAATCGTGGAATGTTGTAAATTATAGTTAGAAACAGAGAGATAAAAGAGCAGAGATAATAAATAAAAGCACTAAGCCATTAAATTGCTCTTTAATGTTAACATTGCAAAGATGAAAAGACTGAGTATCAGGAAAAGCATCATGAAATAAGTAATATTAGTTTAAACACAGGCAAAGTTGAAGCCATACATAACTCATTAGTATGGAGCATGCAATGTTGAGACTATCACTGAAAAGGCTCTGGGTCCTTTTCTGCACAGGCAAATCAATCTTCTAGAACAGTCCATGAAAACAACCTGCTGAGTCTTGACACATTGGTATACATGAGTGCGTATTCAAATGATAAATCCTGCAACTTCCAGGAGTCTTTTCTTAACCCAAGCTAACATTATGAATCCAATGTTGGAAGCATAGGACACAGATCACAGGGCTGGAAGGGACTTGAAGATCTTCTAGTCTAACCTCCTGGTCAAGGCAGGAGAACTTACACCATCCCTGTCAGGTGTATTCAAAATCCATTCAAAATCCAAAAAAGAAAACCTTGGACTCCATTTTTATAGAGAAAAGGACTTTTACTGGATAAGAAGTGGTAGCCACAAAGGAGATACAAGATCTGAGGCAACAGGCGCGGAAATGATATATAGAAAGTTATCCCAAGTCCTCACTCCCAACAATTCAAACCGGACATCCAATCTGAGGTGTGCATAACGTCATGTGGGTACATCTTCAGGTGGCGTCTCACACATCTGGTATGCCGAGACGGTTGACCTTGGCCTAGAAAAGACAAGTGGCTGCATTTGCGCAGTAAGCAAGAAAGCATCCCAACTTCTACAATTCACACAACTTCAACCTCCAGCACCCTTTCCCCCACACGAGACCCAATTATTCCGCCCCTCCCTCCCCCCCATTTCTATGGCAGCCCGAAAGAGTTAAGCAGAAGAAGGAATCTTGGAGGTTGACATTCCCAGTCAAATGGCTACACAATCTCTACTTGAAAACCCCCAGTGATGGAGCACCTACAACTTCTGTTGGCAAGTCGTTCCACTGGTTAATTGTTCTCACTGTTAGGAAGTTTCTCCTTAGTTCTAGGTTGCTTCTCTCCTTGATTAGTTTCCATTCGTTGCTTCTTGTCCTGCCTTCAGGTGCTTTGGAGAAATAGACCGATCCTCTCTTCTCTGTGACAGACTAAGTCAGGGGTGTGAAACTCAAGGCCCGTGGGCCCGATTCAGCCTGCGGGGTGCTTAGATCCAACCCACGGGGCCTGGAAACAGCAAAGGGCCGGCCCGTGGTGCCTCTGCCAGCGCTCCCACTCCCCTGACCTTCGACAAACTAAAAGCAGAACAAAAGGGAAAATGTTTCTCCTGTTGCATTTGAGCAGGAAAGGAGGAAGGGAAAGAGGAAAGACAAAGAAAAAGAAGGAAAAATGTGGAGAAGGCAAGGAAGGAAAAAGAAGGGAAGAAGGGGAGGAAAAAGAAGAAAAGGAAGGAAGGAAGGAAGGAAGGAAGGAAGGAAGGAAGGAAGGAAG